ACATCATCTAAACCGCTTATCCTTCTGGGTCGCGGTGGGGTGCTGGAGCCTATCCCAGCTGTCATTGGGCAGAAGGCAGGATACACCCTGGACAGGTCGCCAGTCCATCGCAGACCTTCATTATATATTTTATAATATTTATTTGGCATTGATTTCTTTATGTCATTTAAATCATATATTTCATAGTCATGTATAGATTACTGTAGTTAAAATTGCAGAAAAATGTTTTTTCCTTCAAAATATGGCCTCAGCCTTCACACATGACTGTGAGGACGAGCTCTTCTGTGGTGCTTGGAATTCTAGATGATGGATTTAAAAACCAATATTGCTAAATTGAGGCTCAAGAAGGTGTAATTGTTAAAATAACTTATTGTTTTATTGTAAAATATAAATAAATTGTAACCCTAACATGTTTTTCAATTGTAATATATCTGTAAATGCTAGGAACACAAATATTTTTTGTTTCTGTCACCCATATGTTTGAAATATTTCCATATTTTACTCCACTTCGATTTGGCCATTTTGCTAAATGTAGGATACAGTGACTGTTGTGTGACAGTATCAGCTGCTTATGTCCCACCCTCTGCCCTACCTTCTTATGTGCCCTGCTGATGTCCACACCTTCTCCGATCGTTTTAATGTTTTTTATTACAAGTTACACACCTTATCTGAAAACCAGTTTACTCCACCATAATATTTCATGACTTTTTCAAACGGATGTACATGTTGCACACATACAATGCAGTTTTCCTATTTACCTTGTTGTCTTGTTGATTTTTTTTTAATTGTGTGAGATTAAAAAGAGAGGTAATCCGAAAGTAATAGTAACTAATGAGATTAGATTATTCTAGTACGTAATTTACCTCCCAACCCTGCTTAAGGCTACACTTTCCAATATACTTCGGTCAGCACTCTGCCAGTATGATGTAGGAATTTGAGAGACTGTATACATTTGACGGGGTCATGATAGGGTCACACACAACTGTGAAAGAGAGGTAATGTTTGTGACCCACACAAAATACTTGGTGTGTTTGTTTGTTTGTTTGTTTATAAGCTTTAGCTCGTTACAGCAGACACTAATTTACCAACAACCCTTGTATAAGTGGCTGCCACTGGAATCTAACCTCAGTTTGACCTCGTGTGTCTTCCAATTGGCAGCATACCACATCATTCACTTTCACTAACTGCTGTTGACCATAATATAAAATTTAGAGCAAATAGTACAGAACTGTAACTGTTTATTGTCTGAAAACGGCTCTACGTCTGAGCGTTTCTCTGGCTTAGAGGTGATGAGTGAATCTGAAGCAGGTTGTTAGCTCACCCTGAACTAACTGGGTTTCTGTGTGTTATTACTGTGTGAATCTGCCAAAACAGGCAGCCGATTGAACTGCTCGGTCCCTGAGGACATTACGTTTGGGTTTTGAGTTTCACAGTAAATTGATAAGTAAGATCTTTTCCCATTAGCCTTAACTGGCAGGAATCCATCTCTCAGTGCTGCATTCAAAGGCTTTTACATGCCTGATTAATGCCAAGTCAAGCACAAACTCGTGTACTTGCTTGACTAAGAGTGACGTAGCTTCTGTTAAATGATATGTCGATTAGGCTGAAATACAGTCCAGCCAACTAGCTGTAACTTCAGCCAAGCTAATCGGTCGTCCTCTTGATCTCTTACAAGCATTAAGCCTTTAGTTTAGCCTATCGACCATTCTAGCGAATTAGTTCGTACTGTGGTCCCACCGATAAAAAAATATTCAAAATTGACTTTTAAGACCTTCGATATTTACAAGGATTATGTGACGGTCAGTTTAGACCTAAGGCATTAATAAAGATATCGTATCTCGCATCTCCAAAATGGTAACTTTACAGGAGAAGGAAAAAACCTGCCCCACTTTTAATGTAAGTCAATGGAACCAGACTTTTTTCAAAGTCATTTTGGGTCGTTTCTTTTAGTCCATTCATCATGAAATTTATAGACAATGTAAAGGACAACAGGTATTTTCAAATTTTGTCAAAAACTAAAAAAAAAGTCAAAAATGGAGATACGAGGTTTTATTGAATCATCATTAATGGTGTACTTTCTATTGGGAGGTGGCTGTCCCAAACTCTAATACTTAAAGGGTTTTTTGTATTTTTTCACTGTTGTTTTTTAAAAGATCTTTTTAAAAATTTCTTTTAAAGTGAAGTTTTGTCCTCGTGAGACCTGGTGATTCATTTTTGTTCTCTGAGGGGGGCATGAGTCCCAAAAGGATATCTCAAAAACCATATAAGCTTCAGTGCTGAAACCTGGTGTGCCTTGTAGAGACGTCCTGGTCTTTCCAATGATATATGATTTGTTGGGTGTGTCATTCGCAGCAGGAGTTCTGTCTTTTCAAAACAGCCGCCATCTCAGCAACCACACTTTGTGGGTGCAAGAGAAGTAAGTAGTTGAAAAATAAGCATTTATGATGTTTTAACACAGTTGTGGCATCAGCCGTTTTTTATGGAGTGGTCTGCTGGGGCAGCAGCATCTCAACTGCGGACAGGAAGAGACTTGACAGACTCAGTAAGAGGGCCAGCTCTGTCCTGGGAAGCCCCCTAGACCCAGGGCAGGCGGTGGGAGACAGGAGGGTGTTAGCCAGACTAGCATCCATGCTGGAGAACAGCTCCCACCCCATGACTGAGACTCTGACAGCACCTGGCAGCTCCTTCAGTGACCGGCTGCTTCACCCCAAGGAGGCCATCGCAGGTCCTTCCTGCTGCTGTTAGACTAGACAACCAGCAATGGTCCCAGTAGAACCTCCTCCACCCCCCATTAGACCTCACACACCTACAGAACATACACTGTGAATTCATCACCATTTCCTGTGTGCAATATTAACTAAACTCCATGTGCAATATTTTAAAATAACTCTATAATGTAAAGATTTTTTGCTTTTTCTACTTATAATGTTTATATTGTAACTCCTCACCATCACACGTGTAACATAAACCAGTAACTTGTGCAAAACTCTGTGAAATTCAGGTAAAATATCCTTACAGTGTAAATATTTTAGCTTTTATTTATTTAAAATCCTTTCCATTAATTTTCTTGAAGGATAGAGTTTATATTTATATCTTATTTTTCACTTTTAGTACTATATATAAATATCGCTGCTGTCGGAAGAAAACCCCATTTTTGACATTTTTCACTTTTTGACATAATTTGAAAATGCCTGTCGCCCTTTACATCGTCTGTAAATTTCATGATGAATGGACCAAAAGAAACGGATCAAAATGACTTGGCAAAAATTCTGGTTCCATTGACTTACATTAAAAGTAAAGTAGGTTTTTTAATTCTCCTGTAAAGTTACCATTTTGGAGATAGAAGGTTTTTTTCCAACAGCAGCGATATTTTGTCTGTAAAGTAACAAGTAACAAACAGTAAATCCTTGTTCAGTAATTAATAAGGTTAATAAATTGCTTGTTTATTCTGTTCTTGTTACTCTTTTATTGAGTGTCTTGCTCTCCCTTTGCTGCTGTAACACTGAGAATTTCCCCATTGTGGGATTAATAAAGGATTATCTTATCTTAAAGCCCATAGTTGATCTGTTTTAGGTAGAAAAATGTTTGAGCTCATTTTCAAAGCAATTTTTATTGATATGCATAAAAGTTTAACCGTCTAACAGTATACGTTTTTTGATGTCCTCTGTGTTGACACTGGAACTAAATGTGTTTTTAGATGAAATTCATGGTATCACAGGTGATAGGAAATTGACTGAGGCAGAGAAAAGTAAAGGATGTTCCCCCCTCCTGATCCAGTTTGGGTTAGAAGCAATAACACGTAAGCTTAACAGTTAAATACATTACTGTGGTATTACTGGATCTAATTTTTGGTTCTTTTTGGTCCTAATTTTTTTGTACTGCCAGTATTTTAAATTTTACTCTTACTGCTAAATGAACAACTAGAATAAGTGTATGCAGGCATTTAAGCTCAGGACCTGAGCTTTATTTAATTTCCTAATTTATTAGAATTTATTAGTCCTTTTACACAACTGTACACTTAAAAATGAAAACATGAAAAATAAATTAATTCTCTTCCGTCTCCATTTATACCTACGGTTCATCCCTACCGTGGAACAGTTTGCTGCTAAATGACACCCAAAGCTGAACTGACTGGGTGTCCTGGAGTTACTTTGATCAGTACATTGATGATCGGGACTTTGGTCTGATGCAGTCAGTATAGGAAACAAGAAATATGACATCAACATAATTACGTAAAAAATAAATAAAAAGTGTTTTGAATTTTTTTTTTTTCAGCCAATAGACTCCTTTCATCCTAGAATTACTGAAATTCTCAAACTTTAATTTTTCTGGGTCTCAGGAGGATATGATAAGTTTTATTTAAAAAACTTTTAGTCCATAACTGGGGCCTTATTTTAGCCATCACCTTTCAGAGCAGGAAGTGAGGCTGCATCCCTGTCCCTCATGGCCACATGGTGAGCAGTTAGATCCCATTGTTCTGAAGTAAATGTGTCCCAAAGCCCAACGTCTGACAATCAGTGTGTAACATTAAGAATTGTCACTACTGAAATGAATAAACTAAACCTTTTTTGTGTCCTAATGAAAAATATTGTGATATTTTGTGTGTACAACTGTTTGTTAGTCTTGTACTGGCTGGGGTTTTTGAGTTATGGTCAAAATTGTCTTTACTGAAACAGTCACTACCGAAACTTGAGGTAGAGTTTCAGTAGCATTATGCTTGTATTGGTAGTGACAACATGGAACGTTTAATGATCTCTTTTAGTAAAACGAACATAATCAAGGCATAAAGTCACTCAGAGCAGTAGATTTTAGTCCAATGTCCGAGTCAGTAGGTCTCTTAATACAAGCCGTAATTTGGTCACAACTGAATTGAGCTTTTTATTTGAAAATGTCATATGTCAGATGTCAAAATGAGTGTCATTCTAACAAAATACTTGTTTTTTGAATCTCTGTCTGTCTGTCTGCCCCCCCACCCCTACCCTCTGTCTCCATGTGCGAAGGCAAATGGAAGGGAACTCTCTTTGGCCACACATGATGAAGCAGTGGAGGCTTTCCTGATGGCCAGAGACCCTGTTGAGATTGAAATTCTGCGCAGGGTTGCCCCCAGTAAGGCTTCCGTCACTCCACCGTCAGGTGCCAGAGGGGTGGACAGCAGTACGCAGACAGATATAACTCTGGAGCACATAAAGGCGACGGCCAGTTTAACCTCTTGTACAACACCTTCATGCACGGCCGTGATGGACAAATACAGATACCTGCGTACAGAGTAAGTCACCTCCATTTCTCAGGGAAGTGTTTTGTAAGTGTGACTGTGTGCCACAGGGTGGAATCAGTCAACTGAAAGAGCTGAATTGTGTACTGATTTTTGAGATAAGAGGAGCCAACAAGTGATATGAAACTCATATTGACCTTAAAACACAAACAAAAACACGAACATAAATGTCAACATTGCAAATAAATGTTACTTCTTGTCTGGTCCTACTTATGTACTTATTAAAGTGTCTAAGCACTTTGTGGGTTTGGCCACAAGATTAGTACTGTGCACTGTGTCATGAAGCTTTGAGTAATGAACCTTTTTACGACACAGGAGGAAAGTACGACGACGTTTTAGGGCCACTGTTAATAAAAATAGTAGACTTAGAGAAAAAAGTCGTAATATTTTGAGGATAAAGTCACATTTTGAGAATAAAGTCGTAACATTTCGAGAATAAAGTCGTAATATTTTGAGAATAAAGTCGCAATATTTCGAGAATAAAGTCATAATATTTTGAGAAAAAAGTCGCAATATTTTGAGAAAAAAGTCGTAATTTTTGAGAATAAAGTCGTAATATTTTGAGAAAAAAGTTGTAATATTTTGAGGATAAAGTCGTAATATTTTGAGAATGAAGTCGTAATATTTTGAGAATAAAGTCGTAATATTTTGAGGATAAAGTTGTAATATTTCGAGAATAAAGTCGTAATATTTTGAGGATAAAGTTGTAATATTTAGAGAATAAAGTCGTAATATTTTGAGGATAAAGTTGTAATATTTAGAGAATAAAGTCATAATATTTTGAGGATAAAGTTGTAATATTTCGAGAAAAAAGTCGTAACATTTCGAGAAAAAATCCGTAGAATTACGACATTAAAGTGGCATTAATCCCAGGAAAGGTCTCAATATTGTGGCCAAAGGCTTTGCAAAGTGAAGGCAGCACCTCCTCGTGTTAAATGAGGGGCGGTGAGTTGGTGGAGTTCTACTTTCATATGGATTCACCCATAAAGAAACACTCAGTCTCCCTGTCTCTCCTGCACATCAGCACCAGCCTGTTATTAGTATAAGAACCGGCTGAAACGGCTGAGCAGGAAACTGTGTTTCTCTAGAATAAAGAGCCCGACGGACTCGGAGGAAACTGTCTGTCTGTGTTGAAGGAGAATCTCAGGCAGGGTCGTCTACACGGCTATCGGGGGCTACATCTCCCCCCATTCAAAGAGGGCATGAAGAAATATTACGACTATTTTTCTCGAAATATTACGACTTTATTCTCAAAGTCTACTATTTTTATTTTTATTAACAGCGGCCCTAAAACGCTGCCATCATTAGTAATGTATTTCACGAGACACACATCAGTTTAAACCATGAGCGCAGACTGTCTCCGTCAGGAAGTGCTCTGCTGGACTCTGCTGATCATTGTAATTTGTGGCATTCCACATACGTGTGTTGCCAACAGGGGAGTTGCAGGACGTCCTCTGATGGACAAACAACACTCACGGCATGGTTGAAGGACGCCTCCCGCCTCTCTATTTCTTTTTTAGCTGTCATTCATCAGTTGTTATAAACACTGATACCATTTTATCTACAATTAGCTCATATCGGCCAATAATATCGGCACTCCGATTTAACCGCCGGGCTCTAATTAAGAGACAACAAAAACAGACGATGTAAGTGCCACATGTAAATCTACTGTAGACCTTTCTGTTGGATCTCTGATGCGTGAACTATTGATGCAGCGACACACAGCTGGCCAAGAAACAAGCAAACAGGCAGCTATCATTTTTTTGGCTCCCTAAAATGGAGAACTGGGCATAAAAAGACCCATGAATTGCTGAGTATCACATACCCTTGAATTAAAGCTGCTCTCTACACTCTAAATTCATGACAGTTCTTTCATTTTAAAACTAATTTACCAAAAAGCCAAAACAACACAGATTGTGCTGCTGTCTGATTACTGATTCTCTGTATGCACTTGAAGTTAAAAGGAATGTCTGTGACTTTATTGTACAGCTTTTTAGCTTCATTAGGTGTGATGTAAAATATTCATGACATGTCTTGGCATTAGACTGCATGGGGTGAGACGTCGTGCTCTCCCCTAACTGGGTCGTATTAGTATGCATGAGTCTGATATTTTGGACTAATCAGACGATCAGTTTGAAGTAGGACAGTAACTTCCATCGTTTGATTCAGCTCTCTCAGCTGGATTTAGACAGACAGACAAAGCTTCTTTGCTGTCTCACTTTCAAGTGTCGTTATTTGATTGGAGCCTGTTTGAAGTTTTCCTCGTTTCTACAAATGCTGGTTGAAGCATAAAAGAAACAAGTAAACTAAGAAATGATCTGTTACATTAGTTTTTATGGGTTTATGCACCACTATAGTACACATTTTATCCAGATTATCATTATCGCCTCAATTACTTCCGTTAATGAGTGCGTATACGTGCACTCAGTAATCCGATCATAATTGGATTTCTGCAGTTATCCAATTATTCAAATGTAAACACCATACTCCGATCTAGAAATCTGATAAAGAGGCTGGATTTTAGCTCAGTAATCAGATTTCTCAGTGCATGTGAACTCTTACTCTGATTTCTTTCGGATTTCTCAGTCTGCGCATGTGCGAGATCAGACGGTGGATGTCGCGAGACGCAGCAAAACACTGTTGAAGTGGCGCTGAAACCAAACACGAAATAAAGGAGTTTTACGTTAAGTTTACGTCACGTCTTCTGTGAGTTTATTGGATGGTTCCAAAGCAGAAATCTGATTACTGTCTGACTCATGTAGACTTGGAGTTTCTCCATTATCTGATTATTCAAGTGCATGTAAACGTGTTGATCGGATTACTGACAAAATCTGATTTTCTGCAGTTATCGGATTATTGAGTGCATGTAAACACACTCACTGATTCAGACCTTCAGTTTTGCCTCACTCAGTGCAGGATGACAGCTTTCACTTACAAAGTTCTGGATATCTGGTTTTCAAAACATGTTTCTACACCTCCGAAGTTCAGTCTTCTCATAATCCAGAATCTCAATTACAATTTTAGAGTCATCAGTCCATTAAATCGTAATCCACATCACCCACCTCCATTTTTGTGTTCTAGTTTTCCTTTTCTCAGGAGCAGCTTTTTGACAGACGTAAAGGAAGGAAGAAAGGAAGGAAGGAAGGTAGACGTAAAGGAAGGAAGGCAGGCGTAAAGGAAGGAAGGCAGGCGTAAAGGAAGGAAGGAAGGAAGGAAGGCAGACGTAAAGGAAGGAAGGCAGGCATAAAGGAAGGAAGGCAGGCGTAAAGGAAGGAAGGAAGGCAGGCATAAAGGAAGGAAGGCAGGCGTAAAGGAAGGAAGACGTAAAGGAAGGAAGAAAGGAAGGAAGGAAGGCAGACGTAAAGGAAGGAAGGCAGGCATAAAGGAAGGAAGGCAGGCATAAAGGAAGGAAGGAAGGCAGGCATAAAGGAAGGAAGGCAGACGTAAAGGAAGGAAGGCAGGCATAAATGAAGGAAGGCAGACGTAAAGGAAGGAAGGCAGACGTAAAGAAAGGAAGGAAGGAAGGCAGATGTAAAGGAAGGAAGGCAGGCATAAGGGAAGGAAGGCAGACGTAAAGGAAGGAAGGCAGGCATAAAGGAAGGAAGGCAGACGTAAAGGAAGGAAGGCAGGCGTAAAGGAAGGAAGGCAGGCATAAAGGAAGGAAGGCAGACGTAAAGGAAGGAAGGCAGACATAAAGGAAGGAAGGAAGGTGTAAAGAAAGAATGTATTTTCTGACCTTCACAGTGGAAGGATGGACAGAAACACCTGTGGATGTTTTGAGATCTGAAGCAGCTTGATTTTCTCCTCTCTCTCAGAGATGAAAGTCAGGGACCCATGAAGATGTCTGGATATCTAGTTTCCAAAACATAGTTTGTGTGGAAAGTCTTACAGCGGTTAACTGCTGGTAACCAGGAGAATTTAAATGATTCAATCCAAGAACTTTTGTTTGGCATTAATTCTTTTCTGCGCCTTTGATCTGCGTGTGCTCCTAACACTATATCACTGTTGTTGGGAGAAAACCTTGTATCTCCAAAATGGTAACTTTACAGGAGAAGGAAAAAACCTACTTTACTTTTAATGTAAGTCAATGGAACCAGAATTTTTTCCAAGTCATTTTGGGTTGTTTCTTTTGGTCCATTCATCACAAAATTTACAGACAATGTGAAGGACAACAGGCATTTTCAAATTAGGTCAAAAACTGAAAAATGACAAAAATGGAGATACAAGGTTTCCTTCTGATAGCAGCGATATGTTACCGTCTAGCCCATCTGCACCCCCTCCACATTTTGAGAAATGCGATAAAAAGTTGATCACAAAAATGCATTGTTAATAAACAGGGGGGGCTTGATGTCAACCCTGATTCATAATGATACTAGAGCACTCAGTGAAACACCATCTGTAGGATTAGGTAGTGATACTATAGAATTAAAATTCAGTAAGGCCTCAAGCGAAGGTCCAGAACATCATGTCTAACTTGCATCATGACTCAGTGCCATATACTGTTTACTGAAGTAGCCTAGTAGGTATATCAACATCTTATACAGTCAACAACTGAATATCAAATCAAATAAAGTACAGTTCAGTCATATTTCAACAATATTTACTGTCAGTTTTCTCTTTTTAGAGCAAACAATGTGAAATAACTTCCCTCTGACTCACTTTCTTCTCTGACTGCTGTTTCTCGCCTCGTCCCTCCCCTGTGTGTGCGTCACTCACTCGAGTCTCAGTGCTCATCGTAATGCACAGATCTGATTGGCTGAGTAGCATCACATGACATTTACAACGCATGCGATTGGTCTGTGAGTCTCCCGGGCCGCTAAATCGGTACCGTAAAGGCTAGAAAAGCTATGGCATTTAAAATAGACCACCCCGTCAAAATGAAATAATTCTCCATAGTTTATCGGGTAGAGGTCCAGGTCCGCATAGGACAGCGTCTGGATCCGGACTCGGACCGCGGTCCGCCTATTAGTGACCTCTGCTATAGAGCTTTGGCCTGAAACATTGTGCAGTTCTGTATTAATATCTGAATTTCTGATTGCAGAAGTGAGGTAGCTGGCTATGGGTCACTATACCCCAGTGGCTTCTTTGAGGACACACCAAAAGACCCTGCAAGAGAAGATCTTGAGTATGAGGTACTTCTTAAGCATGAGCACCCAAACATGTTCCTCTGCCGCCTAATAAGAGAGCAACCGAACTCCATCCGTCTCGGAGTTAAAAGTAAGATCATTAAAGAAAAGTTCAGTTAAAGGACAAATTCTTTGCCTTGTCTTCAGGAGGTGCATCTGCAGAGAGTGACCGCTCAGGACAAGCTCGGCCTGACGTTATGCTACAAGACTGACGATGAAGAGGAGACTGGTATTTATGTGAGTGAGGTGAGAATCGAAAATGGACTTTCTTATTCTATTTGAATGAATCCTGAAGTTTTCTAATCATCTGAACATCAATCACCTAAAACACTGTTTCCCTTAGATTGATCCAAAGAGCATTGCAGCGAAGGATGGCAGGGTGAGAGAAGGTGACCGAATTATTCAGGTATCATTTTTCCCCAGTTTGCTGACTTTTTGTCGGTTATTATGGAAGATGTTCTTGGCAGAACTCATATTGCACATTGCTTCTGGTTTCAAGATCAATGGAGTAGAGATACAGAACCATGAGGAAGCCTTGGCTGTGCTGTCAAAGGGAAATATGAGGAATGTACGCCTCCTACTGGCTCGACCTGAAGTCCAGGTTTGTGTTCTACTGCATTTAACCACACTGAGACCCTGTTTACACCTGGTCGTTTCATGCCTCGAGTCACAAGGATCAACTTCTTATCTGAATAGGGATTATGCACATAAAAATGCAAGTGTAAACAGACCTGAGATGCGTTAAAAACATTTTAATCCGATTAGCAATCAGTCGAACCACTTCAAAAGATTTATTTCACCACATGTTAACATGCAAGTGTTCATACAGTACATTTACATTTACGGCATTTGGCAGACGCTCTTATCCAGAGAGACTTTCAGTTTGACCATTTTACACAGGTGGGCGAAGGTATTGTTAGGAGTCTTGTCCAGGGACTCTTAGCCCAATCCCTTTTCTTCTTTTTACCTCTACCCCTTGTTTTCGAGTGTCACCCTAACCCCTTGGAACTGAGTTACAAGGAGTAGTGGTTGAAATCTTGCCCTACGAAATGGGACCCTCAAATAAAAAAAAAAAACATCACTTCATTAACAGCTACTAGTGCTGCTCTGTAGGCGACCCTGCCAGTCTGCAGTGACAGCAGAGGAGGGTTCAGCAACCTCACTGCTGGGCTCGCTGATGGACCCTCACAGAGCAGGTACTATTTGGGTGGTGGATCATTCTCAGCACTGCAGTAACACTGACGTGGTGGTGGTGTGTTAGCGTGTGTTGTGCTGGTCTGAGTGGATCAGACACAGCAGTGCTGCTGGAGTTTTTAAACACTGTGTCCACTCACTGTCCACTCTATTAGACACTCCTACCTTGTCAGTCCACCTTGTAGATGTAAAGTCAGAGACGATAGCTCATCTGCTGCTGCACAGTTTGTGTTGGTCATCCTCTAGTCCTTCATCAGTGGTCACAGGACGATGCCCACAGGACGCTGGTGGCTGGATATTTTTGGTTGGTGGACTATTCTCAGTCCAGCAGCCACACTGAGGTGTTTAAAAACTCTAGCAGCACTGCTGTGACTGATCCACTCAGACCAGCACAACACACACTAACACACCACCACCACGTCAGTGTTACTGCAGTGCTGAGAATGATCCACCACCCAAACAGTACCTGCTCTGTGAGGGTCCATGGGGGTCCTGACCACTGAAGAACAGGGTAAAAGGGGGCTAACAAAGTATCAGAGAAACAGATGGACTACAGTCTGTAACTGTAGAACTACAAAGTGCACCTATATAGTAAGTGGAGCTGATAAAATGGACAATGAGCGTAGAAACAAGGAGGTGGTCATGATGTTATGCCTGACCGGTGTATCTCCAAGATGAACATGTGCAAAGGTGTCTCTTTGAAGGGAAACATAATGACAGGGACAGCTTTGTGAACCATTTGTTGGGAGGCGAGGTTTGAAGATTAGAAGGATGGAGGAGTTAAAGTGCCGTTATACTTACAGGTTGATGGCTTCTGTGTAACGTTCTGATACGTATAAGTCACCTGCTTTTTTATGACACTGAAAAATGAGTGGTCTTTTCACAAAATGCATTAAAAACTTGTCAGGATACAGTTTAGAAACAGGTCACATGAAAAGACCAGGTGTAACAGGATCTGAGAGACCAAAGGATGATCATTGCCTACTTTCACTGATTAACAGCACAGAGTGATATTAGCTTCCTTTGTGTGTGTTCAGGATGATGAGTGGTTGGAGGAAGACAGCCACGGTTTCCTTGATGACTTACACATAGGCGTGCTGGAGCAGCAGCACTGCCAGGCGATGCAGTTCACTGCCAGCATGCTTCACCAGGTATGCCAAAACAGCAGGTATCTGCTTTCAAATGGCAAAGTACTACAGGTGCCTTTTAGCATTAGAATTAAGATTTTTCTTCTGTTCTTTACTAACAGCAGTTTCCAAATTCACGTTTCTTGTGGGAGAGAAAATGGCATGTGAAAATACCTTGAATAAGACATTAGCACTGTCACAGCGTGACACCAGTTGGCACAGAAAAGACATTCTTTGTTGAATAAAACTGTCTACAGTCACATCTTGGTTTATTGGGTGTGTTGAACTCAGTTCCTCATCCCTTACAACGTGTCACTCAAGTGTCCTTGTATTCCAACTAGGGCTGGGCGATATGGCCAAAATTGTTATCACGATAAAACTTTTTATATCGATATCGATACATATCACGATAAAAATCAAATCGTTAATTCTTTTACATTTGAAGGCTGATTTTTTGCTCCTGAAGTGGTTAATTTGCTGTTTTAAAGTATTCTGTATGGTCAGAACAGGACAAACACTTGGCAAACAGTGGAACATTTCACTGATCTGTCAGTGGACAGTGGGAGAAAGTGTCTGGTCAGCTGTTTTTACCAGCTGGAAAAGCACGGCCGCAATTTTTGTAATAGTCATAATTTAAGAAAGAAAACATTATTTTAGCTGTCTGGTGACGAGCGCTAAACTGTTCAGTTTATCAGCAATGTCAGCTTAATACGAACAGCAAACATTAGCTGGCTCGGTAGGTCAATGAGGGATCACACTGCCTTACCGCCATCACTCCTACCACATCAATGTCAGAGAACAGCACAGCATTCAAACACCAGCTAGGAGACGTCTGGATTCCTCTGTTCTGTCATAGTAGTTTGAGGGCTGAACCGCAGTATATCTGACGCTCGCTGTGTAAAAGCATTAACTGCAGTGTGATTCTCTCACACCAGACAAACAGAGTCCTCCTTTTAGGTACATTTAAACTGAAATCACTGCTTTTTTTGTCTTGTTTGATCTATAGTAACATCAGTTCTCTGTGCTGTGTGAGTGACACAACAACAGCACTGCTTCAAGTTAGCCAGCTGCTAAAACAGCTAGCCTGGGAAGCTAGCATTCTCTCACTCTCCAATGCCTCACAGCATCCTCAGTTTACTTTTGTTTAAATCAAGGCTGTAATTTGCATGAACCACTTCTTTCTTTCACTTTTGTTGTTTGTGAATGCACTAATACTAAAATATGACTGAGCGCTGTAACAGTGCTTTAGTTGTGAGGAGCAGACGTGATTTAACGCTGCTGAAGCTGTTAGGATGTACTGAAAGAGGTGAGTTCACTGTAGGACAGTTCAGTTACACTTATCTCCTCACTCACACTCGGTCACAGGAGAACAGATCGTCGATCGCTCCACTCAAACAGGGAATATATAACTCCACGTTTCGGACATCGCTAAAGTATATTTGGTGACTCATTTAACTCCTTGCCCTCCCACTATAATCATGTCGAAAAACTCCTAAGTGTGCCCTCTTGTGGCAACAGCAGAGTAGTGTACGTGGGACATGTAAGTGCGAGAATATGGTCTATTATATCGAACATTTCTATCGAGGAAAGTTATATCGCAATAATTATTGTTATCGTTTTATCACCCAGCCCTATTTCTAACAGTTCAAATATGGGTAACAAAGTAAATATCGTGCTTTCCTTAAAAACCTTTCTACCAAATTGTCATATACAGAGCAGTACGATTGTCATAATAGCTACCTTTAATGCATTGTACTCACAGTTTTCTCATCCATCCAGAGAGGACATGAAGAAGACGGAGGTACTACAGACACAGCTACCGTTCTCTCAAACCCCCACGAGAAAGATAGTGGTGTGGGTCGTACCGACGAGAGCACCCGCAACGATGAGAGCTCAGAGCAGGAGAACCTGGGAGATGACCACACTTCCACCTCTGACACTCTTCCAAGATCTGGCAAGAGGTGTAGCTACAGCCTGGACGTTCCAGGCAGCGAGTCATTCCTCTCTGCTGATGGCGGCGAGTTCTCGAGCATACCTGAAATTGAGTGCGAACGCTTCCGTGAGCTGCTTGAGCTAAAATGTCTGGCGAACGAAAACAGTCCCTTGATGATTTTAGGAGAAAGTGCCAGGTCGTTTGGGAACAGGATTAACTTGGACTGTGAAGAACAAGAGATTCAGATGCTCAATGAGGAGCTGAGGAACATTGAGCTGGAGTGCCTGAGCATCATACGGTCGCACAGGTTGCAGCAGGAGATCCAAAGGCAGCAACCAAGTGGGGATTCTAGAGACCAGGAGAGCTGCACCATTAAAACCAGCGCAGTTGAAGGCCTGAAGCGGTACAGCATCACTACGGAGGTACTCGAGCAAATAGACAGCTCTAGCGCCTACAACACTGGAGAGAGCTGTCGCAGTTCGTCTCTCGCTCTTGAGCTGCCTTCAGACGTTGATTTATCCAAGTTTATGCAGAATGGTGGCGGAGGTGCCGTCATACACCGACAGAGGCCTATCACAGAAGCCTCTAAGCTTACGCTGTCCCCTATTCAGGAGACGAGTCCAAAGAAGAGTCTCTCTACTCTAACAGAGCCTGAGGCAACCAAACAGGGGAAGGAAAAGGAGCAGGGAAAAGGACACTCAAAGAGTTCTCCTCCTCTTCCACCATACAGACAGATCGCCCATATCCCAGCGCATGCCCAGCACTACCAGAGCTACATGCAGCTAATCCAGCAGAAGTCAGCTGTGGAGTACGGCCAGAGCGAAGTGAGTTTGGTCAGCCTGTGTCGGACCCCCCAGAGCACTTCCGCGGACTCCAAGCCCAAAATGGAGTGGAAGGTGAAAATCCGAAGCGACGGAACACGCTACATCACCAAGCGGCCCGCCAGGGAGCAGCTCCTGAGGGAGAGGGCCCTTCGCGTCCGAGAGGAACGCCGTGGAATGACCACAGACGACGACGCCGCAAGCGAGCTGAAGATGGGACGCTACTGGAGCAAGGAGGAGCGCAAGCAGCATGCCGTACGCGCCAAAGAGCAGCGCCAGCGCAGGGAGTTAATAAAGCAGAGCCGCACGGTCAGCACGAACGAGCACGAAAGACGGGCAGATGATATCATTCAGCTCAGCCACAGGAAGATGATGAAGAAGAGGAACAAGAAGATCTTGGACAGCTGGATGACCATTCAGGAGCTGTTGACCCACGGCGCAAAGTCACCAGATGGAACGCGGCTGTACAATCCCCTCCTCTCAGTAACCACAGTGTAAGGGTATTTACTAAAGCTGCACGATATCTTGTTTGTTAATGGTTATATAATTATATTATAAGACTGGCCTTTGTGGTGCTCATATCACAGAAAGCTGCAATATGCAAATGAGACTGAAAAGATTTGATATTTTACTGTGGTTTGAGCAATCAGACAAACCGTATGTGTTCCAGGTAAGTGTCTGATGATATAGGATGTTAATGTGATCGAACACAAATTAATTTGATATTTAATCCTGACACATTGAGGATTCAGCAGGGCAGTTTAATGTATTATAAGGCAGCGGTGCCCAATCCTGGTCCAGGAGATCTACCAGTAGCTCCAACCTTAATCTAACACACTGATCCAGGTAATTAAGGCCTTCAGGGGCATCTGACTATGTGAGCCAGGTGTAATAATAACAATAATAATAATAATTTATATAGCACCTTTCTCAAACCCAAGTACGCTTTACAAAAGATAAAAAAATAACAAAATACATAATCAACAATAAATAAAACAACACAGTACACACACACCTCTACATTTCCAACAGCTGGCGAGGGGGGATTGCAGTGTCCACAGTATAGAGTCACTTATCTAGTCCAAAAAGGAGTCTTTAGCTGGGGGAAAGTCACTCCATGACTATGGTGCGTCACACAGACAGGTCCAGGCAGCCTCCAGGCAGCCTCATAGCTGCAGTGCAGCGTCACCCAGGAGGTCAGCCCAGGCAGCAATGTAGCTGCGATGTAGCGACGCTTAGGCAGCCGGCCCGAGAGGCCTCGTAGCCACGGTGTAGCGCTGCTCATGCAGCCAAACAATACCAGTCCAGGCAGCCCACAGCTGCAGTGCAGCGTCATCCAAGCAGCCAGTCCAGCAGCCACGTATCTGCGATGTCACGTCGATCAGGTCCCCGGTTCAGGCAGCCTCATAGCCACAGTACAGCATCACTCAAGCGGCTGGTCCAGGCCGCACCAGAGCTGTGATGTAGCATTACCAAAATAGCCAATCCAAGAAGCCTCTGAGCCACGGTTGGAAAATCGCTCATGGCCACGATCTCGATGGAATGATGGCAAACTCCTCAGTCAGCAGGGAAACATCAAAACATTCACACAAACAAAACAAAACAAACAAAAAAGGTGTGTTGGATCTGAACTCTCCAGGGTGGTAGATCTCCAGGACCAGGATGAGCACCTCTGTATATCGCAGTTGCAGTATCTAGCAATATAATTGCAGTATGGAATTTCAGCTATATTGTGCACAGTAAAGGATTAGTTTACTGTGTAAATTTGCAGGTCAGCCCTGGTGACGTCTTGGGTCATTAAAGAGGTCATCTTGTCCAGGATTTGGAGAGAACTACAGTAGTAGTGTGCAAAAATGAGATTCATTTATTTGATTTCCAGTCAAAATGGTGAAAGTACAACTTATTCATTTTTCAGCCTCAGGAAAAAATCAGAAAACGTACATTTTACTGAATTTTACACAAAAGCCTCAACCAAATTTAATATCAGATGTGTCTGTATTTATTCTGTCCACTGTTCGCCTTCCATTCTACCAGCTTGCATTGTTTTTAAAAGATTTGCCTTCAGTTTCTCAAAGAAATCTGCAGGGATATTTTTTCACAGCTTCAAAGTCGGTTCTTAGTAGTTGGTTGCGTTTTCACGATCCAAGTGATTCCAAACACATTCAGTGAAGTTGAAGTCTGGACTCTGGGGAGGTCAGTCCATTGTTCCGAGAACTCCAGCAGCTTCTTTGTTCTTTTTTGTCTATTTCCTTTTCTCAGAAACAGCTTCTTGACTAAATGGCGCAGGATGAGGTTTTAGTCAGCACACCAACACTGAGCGCGTTTACATGCACTTAATAATCCGATAACGGCAGAAAATCAGATTTTGTCAGTAATCCAGTCAGCATGTTTACAAGCACTTGAGTAATCAGATAATGGGGAAACTCTGGGTCTACATGAGTCAGGCAGTAATCAGATTTCTGCTTTGCAACCAGCCAATAAACTGTTTTTTTAAAACATCAAGTCCCATTAGCTGAAAATATGAACATGAGATGTGAAGCAAGAGTGGAGACTGATTGTCTCTTGGTTTTGGTGATGCTCCTGGTCTTGCACGGTTATCAGATCCCATTTTTGTGTCTTTTAATAATTGTTTTAACTCCAGTTTTTGAAAGTCATGTTTTTCACTAATTTTCCCTTCCTTATGTAAGAGGATTATCTTATATCCAGTCTCTTCAGAATATAAAAAAATCTCCTGAAAATGAATAACTTGTACTCACAGTCATTTTAACTGGAGTTTAAATAAACGAAGGGGGGCTCTGACTTTGGCACAGTACTCCGTGTTTCTTTCCTGACATAACAATTTACTCATATAACCTGCTAAAATGGTGTCTGGTATGTAGTCACTACTTCAAATCAAGTGGTCTGACAACAGGATTGAAGTATTTTTATTGAAGATTAAACTTTGGCATATTTACAGCCAAAGGAAGCTCAAGGCCACATGTTCCCTGCAGCTTCCAACCATCAAATAATTGCTGAACCACTGTGATAACTCACCTCATACGACGCCCTGAGGTTTGTTTGTGTGCGAAATTCACCAGCGAAGTTCTGCATCACTGCTTTTTCCAACATGGCTGCTTTTGTTGTGTCTTCCAAATTCACAGCTTATGAATATTCACTGTGTTTATATGCAAATAAGACCAGGGCTTTTGCAAACATAATGAAATTAAACAATGTCTTTTATTCTGGGGTGGCTTGTACATCTGAGTGTTTAGAGAAGGCATTTCTAGAACATTGGAATTCAGCTTGAAATGTCTGTTTAAATATTTATGTTAAAATGAAAAAAGATGATTTTAACTGTGAAACTTGCAACTACAGCATTTGTGAATTCCTGATACTGTACATGCATATAATCGAGCATATAAACGTTGCGTATTTTCTATCACTGCTGTCCTGCAATTTTAATCAGAGAGATGTTTTTGCCTCAAATTCATTTAATTGTGACATAAGAGGAGGTTGGTGGTCTTGTCCAGGTAAAACCTGCATTTACAGTGAACCTTAGTCTTAGGAAGGACTGCTCATCACTCACCCATCAGAAATATTGTGCTATGACCAGCAGTGGACACCAGGACTGCCTGTCCTGCACAATTTCACATTTCTCTGCTCAAACCCACCCAGTCCACCTCAGAAAGCTTTTAATAATTGGCTGCTGATTTGAAAACAAATAGAGCAGTATATCCCAAATACCGGACAGAGAGCCTCATTTGAGAAACAGGGCGATTCAAAAAGATTCACCCGATTTCAAAGTGATTTATTTCACTTGTAAATCATTACAGATCAGTGCAGTGAACTGTAAATGGTTTAAATGAGCATAAAGTTTATTATGTAATTGTACAAGGTCTCAGTATGAACCTCCTCCAGCTGTACAGACAACATCAACACCATAGTCAGATTCATCCCATACTGGATTGAGCATGGCGGGTGTCGCTGCACTCACGGCTCTTTCAGTGCGATTTCGGAGATCATCCAGTGTTGTGGAACCAACGCCGAACGCTCTGAGCTGTTGGAGCTTCACTGCCCACGAAAATCACACTGCACAGTTATGACGGATTCACTCTTATTGAAGTGGAGAACGCAGAACGCTTTCTGCTCAGGGGTCTCATCTCCTCTCAGACTGAAGGGAGCCGTCTTCCACTGACAGTCAGAAACTCTATGACCCACCTCTTTCAATTGGATTGTGATTGGTTCCTCGGCGCCTCACGGTCGTACAGATATGGCGCTTTGAAATCGGATGAATCTTTTTGAATCACTGTATTTCTAAGACGTTTAACTAGCTGACTTTAAGCCTAAAGCCTAAGCCACAGCACTGCTGTGTCTGATCTACTCTTACCAGCACAACACACACTAACACACCACCACCACGTCAGTGTTACTGCAGTGCTGAGAATGATCCACCACCCAAATAGTACCTGCTCTGTGAGGGTCCATGGGGGTCCTGACCACTGAAGAACAGGGTAAAAGGGGGCTAACAAAGTATCAGAGAAACAGATGGACTACAGTCTGTAACTGTAGAACTACAAAGTGCACCTATATAGTAAGTGGAGCTGATAAAATGGACAATGAGTGTAGAAACAAGGAGAGGGTCATAATGTTAGGCCTGATCGGTGTATATCGACCCTGATTCGGGAGACGGCCCCCAGGTTTCTGTTCTTATGTCTGTCACCTTTTCCATTACTAATAGCTGTTTGCTGCAGAGTCTTGATCTACTTAATTAATCTACTTATAATGAGCTGCTGGACACATGAACATCGTCAGAAGTCCTGATCTTACAGCACAAAATGCAGAACCCACTTTGTTTTACGCTGTGCTGTTAGACGGTTTCGGAGGTTTGTCATTCATGTCGTCCTGCCGCACTTTCAAAATTCTTCACTTGCAGTTTTGCTGCGGAAAATCAGCTCAAAAAATTCCTCTCTTGTTTTAAGGACAGTGAAACATCTCTGCGGTTTCCTCGCTCTGACACAGTTCATCAGGGAAATATCACAAAGCCCTTCATGATGTCTGGTGGAGTAAAACAGTGACATGAAATTCTGGAGTGTATGGACAGAACCACTGGCCTAGATCCCTTACACTAAAGCCACACTGACCAAATAGTGCAGAACAATGTTTTGGTCAATAACACATCACTGAGTGTGTTTACATGCACTTAATAATCTGATAACTGCAGAAAATCAGATTTTGTCAGTAATCCAATCAGCACGTTTACCTGCGAAGATGAAGAATTTTTGTTAACACTTTACTGTTGCGTGCTGTTCATAAGGCTACATGACACCTATGTACGCTTCTCATAGCAACTGACATAGCCCTACATAACTGCTTATAAATGCTTATTTCAACATGCATCATCTGTCATAAAGACTACTTTAGCTAACTTTGATCAAAATTGGCAAACGTAACCTTTATAGCGAATGACGCTTATTGGAACAAGCATTTATAAACTGTTGGATTGTGTCAGTAGTCATGACAACCTTATGT